GTCCCCGGCCGGACGGGCCGTCCGTTCCTCGTCGGCGACCGACTCGAGGTACGGCGGCGAGCGGGACGGGCGAAACCGCGGCTGGACGGGGGGCGCGGGGAGGTGCCGGGGAGCAGCGGGCGCACTACTGAGGTGGGCCCGGGACGGGCGGTCCCGGGGGAGGGGCAGTCAGCATGGCCGCCCTGGCTGAGCAGCGTAGCGGGGGATGCGATCCTGGGGTGGGTGCCGCGGAGGGCAGACTCGTTTGAGAAGCTGGACAAGGTGAGGGGAGACACGAGGAGGGCGCTGATGGGAGGCCGTGGCTGGAAAGCAATTGGCCAATTGCGGTGTTGCTACTCACTTGGTGGCATCGGTGGGCATGTAATTCTGGAATGTGAAGTGCCATGTACCGGGCTTAACTCCTCGGATCTTGCAACATGAGAGCTATCAATAAACTGATAACATGAAGAATGGGGCACTTGGCGATGGGGTTGAGTTACCAGATCCCTGCTGCCTTTTTAAGTGCAGCTGTTACCTGCTGGGGTACTCAATGCTACAGCTTGCGATGCAAGTTGTGCCGGAAACCCTAAATGCCATCGCTGGAACAGGTCTTGATTTTTCTCAAGAGATTGAAGGTGCCTTCTTTGTGAGGTTTTACCAGCATCCCTACTGGGCCAGCCCGAACGTTGCTACACCTTTGCCAAAAAGCAGTACAGTTATGGCATCGTGGGTGATCCCCCTGCGAGCTTTGACCTGTGGTGACTTTCCAGCACACCGGGCCCAAGTCCAAAACTGTGATTCTGAAGCACGAGGACTAGTTACGCTCCGCGTGGTGTTGCCTGCAACTGTTGCAGTTACGGCGGGAGAATTTGTTGCCCCAGTTGATCTGGAGGGGGAGCAGACAGCCCGGGCGGCTAAACTGACCAGTCCCGGTCGGAGATTATTCCTGACGGCGCCCACCGTGGGTGATGATCCCTCAACGAGGCACTGCAGAGCTACTGTGCCAGTGTGGAGCACTGCCCCACAGTGTTGTGCGCAGCGGACGTTCCCTGCTCCTAGCGCCTGGTTCCGCTGATCTGGCGTACGTGAACCCACGTCACTGCATTGTGCGGGTGATTGAGTGGAAAGAAGGAGAAAGAGAGATGTGGCTCTGGCACTTGCGTGTGCAGATTGGGCAGGGCACGTACAGCAACGTGTACAAGGCGCGCGACCTGGAGGACGGCAGCATTGTGGCGCTCAAGAAGGTGCGCTTTGACAATCTGGAGGCGGAGAGCGTGCGCTTCATGGCGCGCGAGATCGAGGTGCTGCGGCGGCTGGACCACCCCAACATCGTCAAGCTCAAGGGCCTCGTCACCAGCCGCGTCTCGTGCTCTCTCTACCTCGTGTTTGAGTACATGGAGCATGACCTCGCCGGCCTCGCCGCCTGCCCCGGGGTCACCTTCACCGACGCGCAGATCAAGTGTTACATGCTGCAGGTAAGCATCGCGCACGGGCAGGCAATGGGGCACGTACACGGGATGGCGGGCCGGGGGTCCGGGTCATGGCTTGAAGCGGCAGGGAGGCGTAGCTGGAGTTGGGCGCTCGCAATAAAGATTCCCTGGCAAACGGGGGCCGACTTTTAGTGTTCTGGGCCTGTTGCGTTTCAAATCATCCTCATCTACTTGTACTGGGTTGGAAGCAGGGCCGGCTTTGGGCAATGAGGACCTTGCAGGCTCGCATTTGAGGCTTTTTGTTACGTCACGGTGGCCCTGGTAACATGCTGACGCCTACTGGTCTTGATATGCGCTTCCCCCTCCCGCTTGGATATTCCCCCTCTTCTTTATGGTTGTGGCATACGTTTGCAGAACCATCATTATTGCATTTGCTGCAGTCTTCGCTTGGCTGCCATCATCAGCCCATGCTACGCAACAGCTGATGCACAGTTGGAACTTTGGTTGCGCTGACATCTGGGACCTTATCCGAAGGTTTGTCCGCTTCTCTCCTTGCAGTTGCTCCGCGGCTTGGAGCACTGCCACAGTCGGGGCGTGCTGCACCGCGATATCAAGGGCAGCAACCTGCTGCTGGACAACAACGGCATCCTCAAGATTGCCGATTTTGGTCTCGCCACTTTCTACCGCCCCGACGCCGCGGTGCCCCTGACCAGCCGCGTGGTGACCCTCTGGTACCGCCCCCCCGAGCTGCTGCTGGGCGCCACCGCGTACGGCGCGGCCGTCGACCTCTGGTCCACCGGCTGCATCCTCGCGGAGCTGCTCGCGGGGAAGCCCATCATGCCCGGCCGCACCGAGGTGCGCACCCACTCTCATTCTCTCCCGCGTGCCCGGCTCTTCGGGTGGCCCTGCGGGGCGGGTCATCCCGCAGGGTCGCGTTGTGCGGGTGTAGAGCTTGCTATGCCTGTTGTTCATGTTTGTCAAAAGGAGTTCGGAAGGTGCATACCTGGGCTTGGGTGCAATCACCAAAACCAGCTTCATATTCTCCGCCTGGATTTTCTGCTTTCGCTTGCCGCGTTCTTGTGTTTCACACGTGATGCCCGGCAGGGTGCAGCTCTCGCTCCATTCTCTGCGCCCGTGGCATGACGGCCTCTCGGCCGCTGCGCGCAGGTTGAGCAGCTGCACAAGATCTTCAAGCTGTGCGGCTCCCCCTCAGACGATTACTGGCGCCGCTCGCGCCTGCCGCACGCCACCATCTTCAAGCCGCAGCAACCATATAAGCGCTGTCTGCGCGATACATATGCCGCCTTCCCGCCCGCCGCCCTCGCCCTGCTGGACGTCCTCCTCGCTATTGAGCCCGGCCAGCGAGGCACCGCCACCCAGGCACTCAAGCACGAGGTGAGGCCCATAGCGACCCCTCTCGCCGACTCTGCGAATGATGTTGTGTCTCTGCAGAATGGCGTTTGCAGGGACTGCACCAAAATTCCTGACCCCAAGGAAAGGCGTGGTTTTGATCCTTCGTCAATTGACCTGCATCCGGCAGTCGAGGCATGTGTTGCTTGCGGTGTTGCTTCTGGCATGTTCGGAGTGAGTGCGACCGAACGAGGTGGGCGGTCGCACCTTGTCTGTTTGTTGTGCTGACTTCGTTGCTGTTTGTTTGCAGTACTTCCACACTGAGCCGTACCCCTGCGACCCCTCTAGTCTTCCCGAGTACCCCCCCAGTAAAGAGTACGATGCCAAGCTGCGAGATGAGGAGGCCCGCAGGTGAGCCTGGCCCGCCTGGAAGAGGGGGTCAGGAACGCTCTTCTTGCCTCCCACGTTGGGGATTGATGCTGTGGGCGACAAAAGTACGTGCAATGGGCGACAAACCTACGTGCAAGGAACAAGCTTGGGTTCCGGGGAAAACTTCCGCGGAAGAGTACTTGATGCATTTTTGCAGTTCTCGACTTTCTCGGCCTGTTCCTTCCCCTGCCCCACCGAAATGGCTCCGCTCACTTTGCGTGTCCTGCTTGGCCCCCCAGGATGCGCGCGGGCGCAGGTCGGAATCGCAACGCTCACGAGCCCTCGCAGAGGCGGCGTGAGAGTCGGCATGCAGCAGGCCGGCCCAACTCCGACCTGGACCCCAGCGGGCAGCTCAAGCCGGCGCCGCGCATTGGCCTGGTGCCCAGTACGAAGGTGAGGCCACGCACTCAGGGGGCGGAGGGGCTCTGCTGGTAGCCGATACAGCATAAGGGGCAAACGCAGCACAGCAAGCATGCAAGTGTTTGTGGTCTCTTCAGAAGCGTGAAGGAAGGGATTGGTACGAGGCGTTTCGGTGGAGGAAGCTCATATTTCACTTCGATTAAGTGTCAGCAGAATGCATTGCGCCCTCCCAGAGTTTGCATAGGTGCATTCCTGGTGGCGCGCTTCTGGTGCCATTTGGCGACCTTGTATTGACGCTTCGCTCCTTGCCCTTGTGCGTGCAGGCCAAGAGTGACAATAAGCTGAGCATCAGCGGGGCTGACTCCTCTGGCGCCACGACTGCTGCTGGCCCGTCGGATGCGCGCGACAGCACCCCTCCAGGGACCACCTCGCGTGCGCCTCCCTCGCGCCACGTCAGCAAGTCGGGCCCGTTAGGCCCCGTGGATCTGCGGCTGCGCACGAGTAGCGGGCCCATCTGGGAGCCGCGGAATGCGATCCGGGAGGAGGACGGGCCGGCCGCGCGCATGGGCCCGCTGAACCCGGAGCCGCGAGCGCCGGACCGGAGGCAGCCGGTGGGGCACTCGGGGCCGATGGGAATCCCGCACGGGCCCATGTGGGACACCGTCGCGAATGCGTACTACGCGCAGCACTACAGGTGAGGCGCATTTCAAACAGGCACGAAGACAGAAGCAGGGGGGAATGGCAGGCCTGCCCATTGCTGCACGACGTGGCCCCGCTTGGGCACACCTCTGAAGCGGCACGTGGGTTGCCAGCGCACTTTTATACTGCGTGCTAACCAGGGAAGTCTGGCTGACGTTTGCGGGCTCCTTTCTCAGACGAGTGCTTCGGCTTTTCTCACCACCGCTGATCCTGCAATGCACCGCGTGTGCAGGGACTCGCTGCGTGCTCCGGAGCGCGATGCGTTGAAGGCCGCCGAGCGCCTTAAGGGCGCAGACCACGACCGGGCCGGTCCGCTGCCTGGACGGCCGCGGCCCATCAAAAGTGTGCCGGACCTGCACCAGCGCGGCTTCCCCGTGGAGGCCACCCAGGTAACGCGCCGGGTCACACCCAGGGTACGCTAGAGCAACGTTTACCGTTTGTTTCGTCGATGTTGAAGCATTTGACTCACCCAGTACTCCTGTCGGCGTGATTGCTGGTCTGCACTCTCAGTCTCCCCACTGCTGTCGTTGCCAGGTGCTCAATCCGAACCCGGTGCGCGATGACCGCTTTGCCAACGACCACTCGTTCACGGAGCGGCCCCACCGGCGGGCCCCCCGCGAGGAGGGCGGCGGCGGCTACTCGAGCGGCGGGCGGTCCCGCGTGCACCACCGGCCGCAGAGCGGGGAGCTGCGCAAGGAGGAGATCCAGCAGACCATGCTGGCGGCGCACGCGGGGCAGCAGCCGCCGCCGCCCCTGCAGCCGCCCAGCCAGGCAGGCAGCCAGGCGCTGCCGCCAGTGCCGTGGCGGTCGGGCCAGCTGACGCGGAAAGTGAGCGGCACGTTTGCGGACAAGCGGCTGTTCGAGCACAAGGGGTGGATGCTCTCCGTGAGCACGGGGCGCAATGGCGTGGCGGAGCACCAGCTCGTTCCCGGGGGGGCGGAGAGCCTGCAAGGGGGAGGGGGGGGGCGGGGCGGCCAATGGGGAGATGCCGGGGCCGAAGCGAAAATGGATGCCGCGGTTTTCGGATGGGTTCGTGCAGGCGAGAGAGGGGGGACCGGAAGCAGGAGGTGAGGAGCCCCGGTAGGGACCTTTGAAATGGACAATGTCGGAGGGGGCGGGGCCATAAGCTAAGTGCTGAAGAGGCTTGCGAAGAGGGTAGGTGGGCATGTGCCCAGAAAGGCCAGATGAAGGGGCTAAGGAACGGTCAGACCTGACATGCGTATGTGGACACGGGCGAGCAAGCAATTGTGCTGTGCTCTGGTGGACTCCCTTTTGGCCGGTGCTGCAATCTGGACCAGCAGGGGTAGGGAAATAGCCCTTTACACGATTGCTTTTTGACATGCCGAGAAGCATTGTCTAAGAATGTTGGATGAGCCGAGGAAGTCATTGTAGGACATTGCTAAGATCTAACAGCGGATATAGCTCTAAGCCCTGTACTTGGTCAAGACAATAAGTCGAGGAAGCAACAAAAGGTGGCCAAAAAGAGCACCTCAGACCGCTGACCGGAGGCCGGCGCTTGCTTCCGTTTTGTAGCCAAAACCGACTAATATATAACACGCGCCACTTTTCAGTGAAGTCGAACTTGGAATTTTCAAACTTTACGTTGACCAACGGCTTAGCTTTGAAGCATATGTTCACCTGGACTGTCGCAATGTTGATGAACGTCGTATGAGCTCAGTCGGAAGCATGTACACACCATTATGGCAGGCGAACGATAGCCCAAATGATTACCTACTCGATTACCACCGTAGTAGACATGCATGCAACCAATATCATTGATGCATGTTCTTTATTAAACAATCTAGACGGTGCCACCAATTAGGCCGTCCGCACTCATTACTAAACTCTAGCTCGCAGTATATGTCGCAGGTAACTTCTCGATTGGGATAAGTTATTTAGTCAACGATGTTGCGCGCGCAATCCAAACATCAAGTCCTGGCCCGGCGCTCTCTCTTGTAGTACATGACTTGACGGTCGATATATGCCAACTCATGCACATATATGAGCTGCCATGATCGGGGCATGATGATCAGTATGCGGTATCAGTATCGCGGTAAATATATAAAAATTAGATATAAAATTCAGCATGTTCAACATAGCTATAGATTCAATTTAGTCACCAAGTTATTAGACATGTTCACACCGGCTCGGGGACTAGGCTTCAAGTTCTGGGGCTCAACGGTTGAACAACAATATATGGTCTATTTTTCGTACAAGCTCAGCGGCCAGCTTCTAACATCATTTGACGAGTTGCGTTAGAACAGAAGCACATCTCGAGTCTCACTGCTCTCACCGGAGGTAGTGACTGCCCCATGGGCCATGGCTCAGTGACCATCAAGCTGTTCACAGCTGCAACGTACTAGGTACCGGGTAGATCTGCTATGAGAGGTCCACTCAGCGCCGCAAGTTGCATGTGCGGAGATAATCTGACGGCTGTCAGAGGAGAATACTTTGTCAAATCCGGGTAAATCCAATATGTTACATCGATCAAGAAACTTGTGTGTACCCAGCCACTCCCCACGCGGCCCGCCGCCCATGGGCCCAGGTCCTAGGCCATGTCCCATGCAGGCCCCAGGGCCTCGTCATCTATGATCTACCGTACGGTATGGCCCTGAAGGCTAGGTCTACAGTACCTACCTATATAATACCGTACAGCTTTTTGGCATGCCATTTTCAGCCTTCTTCTTTCCGTTCCGATGGCGATATTGTGATGTTCCGGCGTTCCGTTTCGCGGAATGCGAATTATCTAGTTGAAAATGGCGAAAGCCGTATAGGGATGACTTGAAAAGTAATGCTGTACGACGTCGCGCTCTTATAAGGGTTCTCGCTGGTGTACTGTCTAGTTGGGAAGGTTGCACGTTTGCACCGCATACGCAGAGGTGCCCAATTTTGACCCACCTTTTCCTTATTTTCTTTCAAAATCATCGATTATCTAATTATTTCGACCGTCCGATCGGTATTATCTACGCACTGAGACAGTCGGCGAACCTTGGCATGAGTGTCGCAGGCCGTCGATGATTCTTTGACGCATTGTTCGTGCCGTCAGATTCAGTGATATTGAAAACTCCTGCAACTTCCCCAATGGCATGCCCCACGGACCCGTCCGGGTCCCGATCTACTTAATTTCGGCGAAAAGTAAATAAGTATTTGGCCTGCTGAAAATTCTAAATAATTATCCAGGGGCGATAATGGTCGATAACGGTTCGTTTTTGCAGGTAACGCTGGGTCTGCCGAAAGTTTCAAACGTTTCATAATTAACTATTTTGCGTCGAAGGTGCCGATATTAAAAAGCAGTACGGTATACGGTATCTGCGGCCCCCGGGCCTCACCGGGCGGCCTCCGGGCGGGGTCACTCCAGGCCGGTTGTCCGTCGACTTATAGGTAGGAGGTACAGCTTGTACAGAACCACAACTAAACCATCTGTTGAACAGCATAAAATGGATCAACCAAAAAGCGGCACGTGTCCCTCATTTTCGGCGAGACTCGCTGCCGCGCCGCACCTAGGTCGCCCATAGGTCACCACCGAACCGGCCGCTTGACCATTGCAAGCGGGTTAGAAGTCACGGTTAATTTGCCGTTCGAACAAGAAATCGCCGTTCGAGCGAGTAGCGCGCGGGTGAAGCTTCGAAATGTATCTGGTGCATGGAGTGCTTGAGCATCGATCAAACACGAGAAGGTCTGTGCTTCCTGTCTCCTGTGGTCCTGCTAAGCACGGGTTAGAGAGTCTCGGCACCTGTTGTGTCGACGAGTCCTCGTCATTCAATTACCACCTCAGGCGCAAGCAATCTCCGCGTCTGCGAGGTTCCTTTGCAATACATTCATCACGGGGCTGGGTATCAGCACTCTCCTCTCCTCTTTGCA